CTACTCAGAATTTTTAAACTTGTAATTTTCTCTTTCTAGTTGATGATCCAGATATTTTTATCTTTTGAAGTATTTGTGAAATTTCTATTTTGAACTACATCACTTTAACCAATTTTTGTTTAGGTTTTAGTTCAAAGCAATTAAACAAGTTAGGAAGTAAAAACACTCTAGTCCTTGTTAAAACAACTGTACACTTTGAGCATGAAAGCACAACTTTTAATTGTGCCACTTTGGACATAAGTGGTGATGATGTACTTCCCCTTTCTCACATTTAAGGGTCCACCCAGAAGTCTGCGACTATATTTGAGTCCCGGAAATGTTCTCATTCTCTCTTGCCTGCGATACAATCTCTTAGAATAGCTGGTTCAAGAATCATGTTAAACGGGCCCAGATCATGTGTTTGAGCCTGTTAAAGGTATACTTTCTGTTCTCTAAAAGCAGATTGCAGCCCAAGTCTCAGCCACTTGGCACCTTCTTGCCACTGTTCCCCCAGGGCCATGGACTAGACCTGTGGGCAGCTCATTGCAGTCGGGCCCTGTCACCAGACAGCTGGTCACGGAGGGCTCCTCTCAGTCAGCTTAATAAATAAAGGAAAGTAACTGGTTACTTGAAGCTCTTTAAATTTAACTAGAATATACTCCTTGTTTTTTTCCTCTGTGACCTTGGGTGAATAATTTTCCCCTTTTCGTTGTTGTTTAATTGTAGTTGTCCCCATCCCCACTTCCCATTATTCTCGCCTGCCCTGCCCAACCCCCGCCTTCCACACCCAATCCTGTCCCCTGCCCTGTGGTCCTCGTCCATTGATCCTTTGTACGTGTTCCTTGACTTGACCCTCCCCTCCCTCTGGTCACTGTCAATTCATTCCTTATTTCCGTGTCTCTGGTTCTGTTTTGCTCACTTGTTTGTTTTGCTGATTAGGTTCCACTTATAGGTGAGATCATATGGTATTTGTCTTTCACCACCTGGCGTATGTCACTTAGCATAACTAGGATATATTTGGTTAAGGTAAAATGGTTACTTTAAAAATATTCAGGATCACAACAGTGCTTTTAGGGATTAAAATAGTCTCAACAGTCTGTAATTTCAGGGCTTCTAAGATCCACATAGAATTAGCATATCCATGGATATGAAAATGGCAACATTACACCCAATGTTTATTTCCACTTTCTTTTCCCCCCAGAATTTGGTGTCTTCCACATCCCATGTGTTTTTGTTTATTTCTGTTGTTTTGAGAGACAAAGTATGATCATTAAAGTATTCTACAATTCTTTCTGAAGGAGAAAATACCTTTTACTTTTTGGAAACAATTGCATTGCATTTTAAAAGGCATGAAGTGAAATTTCCTTAGACTGTGCTGGATTTGGGAGGCAACACAGAATAGTGAGTAAGCGTAGGGTTCCAGAGTTAGACAAAATTCTCTCTGTTTCAGTACTACCCATCTGTTACATGGAGAGGAAAATGGCGCCTTCATCATAAAGGGACAAGTAAATGAGATGACACAGGCCACAGGTGGCACACACAAGGCCCGCGGGTCCTCCCTCCACCTTTTTTTATCCAGCGCGGTACCTTGTATCTACCCAGCGGCAGTGCCGAGCTCTTGCTTAACTGTTAAGGAGCAGTTACGTTTATACAGTCTTAAAATGACATTCGGCCCTTTGAAGGCAACCGCGAGGCTGATGTGGCCCCCGGTGAAAATGAGTCTGACACCCCTGACCTAGGTAAGGAGCTCAGAACAGTGACGGGTAGTCAGTGATCATTAAATGTGAACGGACACCTGTGGTGGTAGAACGAGGTAAGCATTACACCTTTACATCTGACTCAAAAGGAAGTTTTATTTCCACCCTCATGAGTGGACCATAATTTAGTTTCTTCAGAGAATTCCTAATGTCAGCTCACCTGCAAAGACGGCACGGAAGGGAAAACAAGCTCTGTCGGACTCTGAGTGCAGATTCTATATATGTAAGAACAATTTTGGAAATTACAGCTGCTCAGTTTTAGGCCACTTGGGCAGGTGAAGCCATAGCAATTGTTTCCAGAAGGCTAAAGGAAAATCTGAGAACCCACTACCTAGAAACTCTTTTGAATCCCAGACCTTCGAAAACCAGCATTCCGATTACCAGGAAGCACCACGCAGATGGCTGGGTCCCACAGAGTTACCCACCACTACTTCTCCCTCCCACCGTTTGTGAGGCCTCCCTGTCCCCTGGTGTGCCATCGTGAAAGCCAAAGTGACCCACGGTGAAGTCACCTGAGGGACCAAAAAGGAACCGTGGGAGGCTGTCCCTGCACATCCGTTTTGCTTCTGTCATTTGGGAGGTGCATTATATGCTCACACGTCCACTGACAACCACTCATGGCTATCTGCAGTGAATCTGCCCCCCACACACATCTCCTCACCAGATTCTGCCACCAACCTCAGGAAAATTCTGCTTTGTCACCTTGCTCTTTATGGCAATAAACAAACAAATCTTGAAGAACACAACTAAGTTTCCTAGGTATTTCTAATGAAAATAACACCATTACAGACCTCAGCCAGTAATCTTAAAAGTGCTCTGAAGTACCTTTGATCTTCTGGACCAAAATTCAGCTCCTACAACAGCGCTTGTTTTTTTCAAGTGCTGATATTCAATATAATTTTAATGTGTTTAATCTAATTGATTATTATTCTGATTATACTAATTATAATTTATTACACCCATATATGCAAATATATAGGATTTCATCTCCATTGCAGACTCTTTAGTCTGAGAAAATAGATTACGAGACCTTAATAATTATAATGGTGATTTTTAGGCCATAGCTCGTTGGAAGGTTGGCACCTGCCTGTATTTTCCTTACTTGGCTTCTAAGTATTTGTTTCTTCTCCTAATCAAGAGCAGTGTACACTTAGGTATCCTTCCATGATAGCAGGCCTTTTCCAAACCCGGGACTACCCTTCCGAGTTAGGAGTTTCTTCTCAATATGTGTGTTCATCAGCTGTTACTTCCTTTCCGTAGTTACATTTATATTGATTTCAGTGCTATTTCCTGGAGAATTTTTACTAGTGCAGAAGACTTGGGGTCAAAGTCTACTTGGAACCGTAGCACTTCAGAGCTGAATTAGCTGGTCCAGTTAGCTCACATTTCAGAGGAATTCACTGAGACACAGGAAGGTTCACTGATTGGCGTCATGTCACATGGTTGAGGTGGAGGCAGGGGTCACGGGGACCTGTGTCTAGTGCCCCTTCTATTAAGTCTTCCAGATTAACTTTCAGTCTGATGTGCAACCGTATATATTCTGGTAATTACCTTTCTTCCTAAGAATTCAGGAATCCTGGAAAACGGTGATCCTAAGAATTGATTATACATTAATCAACACTTCTAATTGTTGATCTGAAAGCATTTTTCAGCCACACTACATTTTTTTCTGAGAAATTTCAAAGTCACATAGTTTATTACTCTGCTGAGGCATTTAAAATTTTTTAATTAAATGTTTAAAATTTATTAAGCTATGTGAATTTAAATTTTTCCTCATGATATTTTTGGACATGATTGTTGCTTTTCATTTTTAATCATTTGGCAGCATTATTCACACTCTATTTTGGGGGTAGACTTTCCACAAGAGCAGGCAATGACAGCTTGTACCCTGATAATAACAAGCATCACAGCATGGAGGCCAGTGTGGGTGGAAGCTCTTAGAGATTATGGAGCCGTTTTAAACAGGGTTGAAGTACCCTCAATTATACTCAGATTTTAATTCATAAAATATTAGGTTGGCAAGTCCTACTTTAATTGTGGTTTTTAAAGAGAAAGTATGTATTATAAAAATGTAAACTTATTATACTAAATAAATTTATAATTCAAAATAAGCAGGTACTAGTTTATTTCTCTCACTTTAGGTTGTTGCTAACTTTCTTCCACGTACTTAAATATTCTAAATTACTGTCTTCACTGAATCCTGACAGTTCTTTTAGAATTATTTCCTAGATTTTCTACTAAGTTGATTTTACTCTAGCTTAAAACTATTATCCTACAATAGCCAAAAGGTGGAAACAACCCAAAGGTCTATCCACAAATTAATGGAAAAACAAAATATGGTATGTGCATATAAAGAATATTACTCAGCCTTTAAAAAGTAATGGAATTCTGATATGTGATACAACATACATGGTCCCTAAAAATATGCTAAGTGAAATAAGCCAGACACTAAAAAAACACTTATGATCTCACCTATATGAGGTACCTCAAACAGGCAAATTGATAGAAAGTGTAATGCACAGAGGTTAATAGGTGGTACAATAGACGGAGTTGTTCAGTGGGTACAAAGTTTCCGTTTGGGACAATGAAAAATTCTAGAGGTGGGTAGTGGTAGTAGTTGCACAGTGGTGCGTTCAGTGCCAGTGAATTATACACTTACACGTGGTTGAGACGATAAATGCTACATTGTACACATTATACCACAGTAAAAAGTCGCCCTGAGTCAGCCATAAATGAATGATAGGGCTCTCCGTGGACTCTGAGTGTGCCCGAGAAGGGACTCGGACTCCTGCATTCCGAAGGGGCCCCTTCGTGGGGTGGAGAAAACACAGCTGTATTTACTTTTCCAACCCCATCTTCTATTTTGAAATACAACCTTTTTGCAAATGAGAGCCAAGGTCAAGTGACACAGCTTTCTGCTCACCTCTTCAGTTTGCCAAACCCCGTTTTTCTAGTGGAGTTCGGGGTTAGGTGCTGCCAGTGTGGGTAACACTGTTACTCAGGTGTCCTCTGAGTGGAATTTGATTAGCCTCCCTTCATAATTAGGTATGATGCATTTCCTTTCACTTCGTTTGTACATGAAAACGCACCGTTGTGCATTCACCAACTGTAGTATTTTCAAGTGTGTGGACTATTCCACACATTAAGTTCGAATTACAAGGAAAATAAGGCTTTTCTGAAAGAACCGTTTGTTTCCTTAGATTAGAAAGATATTTATATGCAGGGTGAATGTGAAATCCTACTGACAATTGTCTTTTATTTCAGGCTATGGACACAAAAATTCAGGTATATACTAAAAATTACATATTTATGTTTTTCAATAATGGTAGAAACAGTGACAAAATATAAGCTTTTCAGTATAAATTAAGAGCAGCAAACAGATTAGCTTTCTGTCTTCAAACACCTTATATGACATATTTTTTATAATATCAAAATGCTTGTTCTTAAATATTATATTTGGGTAATGAATTTGTCAAATGTACATTCTACCATAGCACATGCCAAAAATCCCAGCAGGTAGCTATCACTTAATACTTTTTAACTTACTTTCTTTTAGTATTTCCTACAATATCCTATGCTATTTATTTCTGTTCATTCAATATCATAAAAGTGATATTTATCAAATTATATAAAAACAAATGAATATAAATAGAAAGTATTCCCTTTCCTTTCTTATTGTACGTGCAGCTGGTTGAAGTCCCGTATTGTTTTATAAAATGAAAATTAATTATTTGAGTGAAATTAATATTCAGTGTGCTGAGTAGATGTGCAAGATCATTTTTCATTGTTTTCCTTTGAATTATCTGGAAAATGTACGATCTTGTTGCACTGCATTCTGAAAAGGTTGAATAGATATTTAAAATAAATAAAACTACGTAAATGGGAAGTTAAGTAGAATCCAGTGTGACTAATGAGGGATATCAGATTCATCAGACCTCTGGTGTACATAATAAGCTTGAAGAATTCATGCACAGAAGCTTAAGCCATTGTATAACCCTGGCTGTGATCAGATGCTACAGTGTTCTAAGCTATTGTATATTGTATCCAGCTTGGTAGATTTAACCCAGTAATAAGATGCTTAGTTGAACTGTTTCTTTAAACTCAGTTTCTATGGCAGCACAGTCTGTATTTTTTGGACCTTCATCTTCTACCCCAGATAACACATCCATAGAGAAATTGCTAAACTTAAGCCCTTAAAAAATAACCACCACCAGACATGTAAGCTTTAGAACTATTTACCTCGATGGCAGTCTTTACATCAGAGGGAAGGCATTGGGACTGTAAATGAGGCACTCAGAGTGCAGGTCTCTGCCAATTGCCAATTAGTAGCGGTGTGACCTTACATAGTCACCAAACTTTGAGCCTCAGAAGATGAGAATAGAAACAATAGCTTCCCTATCAAATTTAGTGGGTTGTGAGGCTCGAGAGAAATAATGCATGCGAAACTACTTCGAAAACTGTGTAAAGCACTAAACAAAGGTTAGTTGTCATTTTTTCCAAGATTCTGATTGGAACTTTGCTGATCCCACAGGTTTCACTGAATTACGAAATAGATAAAACCATACCAGTAAGTTGTTTTATAGAGTATTATATGGCATGTAAACCATTAGTTTGTTATATTTTTTAAATTTCCAGATCATTTAACATCTGCATGACGTTGTCTTTTTTTGTTTGTGGGTTGTTTGGCTGGTGTGGTTAATATCTTGCTGTTTTGATACAAGTGGAGTTGCTTTGGGAAGTAGACATTGATGGGGCCTTAATGTCCTAATAAAGGGCATCCCTTTTTCTCACCTGCCTGCTGGGCCCATGGAGAAATAAGACCAAAGAGCCAGCAGACAGAGAAACAAGAGGGCTTGCTTTTGGCGGATACACCCAGGTTGGAGGAGTGCAGAAGCTAGAATGGACTTCCGCAGCTCCAGTAACACGTGTCTACTTGTGAGGGAGGTTTCAGTGCACACAGCAGCCACCGTAAGTACTTTGTCTCCCCTGGTCCAAGTAGAGAGAAAGAAAGAAACCCTCCCCAGGCCTCAGGCCTTCGGGTGTTTAGCTTCCCCCCTCTAGAACGGCGGGCCAATGGCTCGCCGGGCCAATGGTGGTCACCCACCAGCCAGGTAACTCAGTCTGCCTCCTTCTGGAGGGATAGGGGCTGGGGCAGAAGGCCATTGTGCTCAGAGAAGAATCCCTCTATGGACACCAGAGAATTAAGAAAGAGGCCTTTCTCTTTAACAGAGGTGATCAGAAATGGAACCATTCCCTCTCCTGCCCTCCTTCTCCCCTTGCAGTGCTCACCCAGTCCTGCTGCCCCATTGCCGTCCTGTCCCCATACACCTGCCCCCAAACGTGGGCTACACTGCAGCTCCTCCAGACTGTACTGGTTCCTGGGGTAGGTTTGGGGGGCTGTCGAAGGCAGGTGGATACTATCGACTGGATGTGCCCCCACACCCAGATTTTTATGTTGAAACATCCCCAGAGTGAGGGTATTTGGAGGTGGGGCTTTTGGGAAGTGGTTAGGCCACCAGGGTAGAGTTCTCGTAGGCAGGGTTAGTGCTGTTATAAAAGAGGCCCCAGAGAGATCCCTGGCCCCTTCTGCTGTGTGGCGTTAGGAGCAAAACGGAGCAGTCAATGAACCAGAAAGCAGGCCCTCACCAGACGCTGAACCTGCTGGAACCTTGATGTTGAACCTCCCAGGCTCCAGAACTGAGAAATTTTTGTTGTTTATAAGCCACCCGGTCTATGGTTTTGTTTTGTTTTTTATAGTAGCTCAAATGGACTAAGACAGATGATGACGGAAATTTACAGTACATAAGGTTTACCCTTCCCCTCCCACAGTGCCAGGTGGACCCACAGAAAAATGTTGCCCGAGCAGTATCATCTTTGTTGTAGCAGGACCTCACTTCTGGAGGCATATTTGCGAAGGTGTTTGTTTGATAAGTCAAGCACAGTCTGTCTCACTCATTAGGAAATAGGCGTACAATACTGGGGTTTAGTTCTGTGTTTAATACCATCTACAATCGACCATGTTGGTGAAAAACAGTTGGAAAAATCTTGTCAGAAAAAAACAAACAGATGCATAAATCCAGGATAAACATAATGATACCTAACTTATTTTGAATAAGCTAGTTTGAATGTAAAGTTTAGAAAGAAATGTATTTAGTCATTCAATAACCACATGTTGATCACCTGTGATGAGCCATGCATGGCTGTGATTGCGAAGGGAATAGAGAGGAAAGCTCTTGTCCATGGCTTTCTGCTGCCCACAGTTTCATGAGGGGCAGAGAATTCTACCCCGTGTGATGTATGTGGGGGGAGAGGTATGCATGGTCTGTTAAGGGAACACAGGGAGAGGCACTTGGCCTAGGTTTGAGGAGTTACTTGGGGAAAGCTTTATTAAAGAATTTTGATATACATCCTAAAGGGCAAGTTGAAATGGGCAAAATGAAGGGAGTAGAAGAGAGAAAGATGTCCTAATTTAGGCAAATGTACCTGAATGAGCCAAGGCTCAGAGCTAAAGAGAGAGCCTGCCATATTTGGATATCAAATAGCAAACAGCTTGGTATGGATGGAGTAAAGAGTTTAGGAAATGGTAATAAAAGAAACTGGAGGGGTAAGCAAGGCCAGATCATACCTCTTATACTATGATAAGGAGTCTGTTCTTTTCTCCAAAGGCATTGAAGAGTTTTAAGCAAGGAAGAGCATGTATTTTAGGTACCACCAGGGAGAATATAGTGTAGGGGGAGCAGGGCCATATGCAGGAGACTCTTGTGACATTCAAGGCAGAAGACTACAGTGGCTGACAATGACAGTGGACCCAAAAAGAACAGGGGAAACTTGCGGCGATATTAAAAACATCACAATCTGTAGGACTCGGTCATTTGCTGGATGGAGTGTATGGAGGAAGTGACACCAGGGACAGAAAAATCAAAGACAGTTCAGGTCCATGTGTTGGACAACCACGTTGGTGTCCTTCACCAAGACAGAAAATATTAGAAGTCCACTCACTCATTACATTAGGGGTGGTACTGGGAAGGAGATGAGAACATGTTGAGTTTAAGATTCCTATGTAATATCCAAAAGAACATGTGTGGTAGTTTAACACATGGGTTACAAACTGTAGATAGAAATCTGGGTTGGATATTGGGGTGTGCATGTGTGCACGTGTGCACACATACACTTATCTACAGACTGACTTCTGGGGAGGGGAGAGGTAGGGAGGACAGTGGGCACCATGGATACGGGTGAGCTCATCCAGGCAAGGGGGTTGAGAGCAAGAAGAATAAAGGAACAGAAATGAGGCCCTGGAGAATACCATCACCTCCAAAATAGGCAAAAGAATAGACAGAAGGCAAAACTAAGAAATGCCAAGGAAGCCCAAAAAGAAAATTCAGATTTGCACTTCAAAACCTCTGAGTTTAGCAAGAAGTGATTATTAGCAAACTTGGAGAAAGCAGGGTTAGGAGAGGGGGGCAGAGAGGGAAGGGAGGCTGCAGTGGGTGGAGAGCACAGTGGGTAGTGTCCACAGGGTCTGCATCTGGCTGTGAAGACGAGGCAGAGACAGTGCAGTGGTCCATGGGTGCAATGGCAGGGGCGGTACAGGCTCCAGGAGGGGCATCTGTAACTAGTGACGTGACCATACGAAAGATTAGCAGTTAGGAGATGCCTTCAAATTGATGCAGCCGTGTCCTTGAAGAGTGGGGATGGGATGGACTTGGAGCACCAAGGTGAGGGATTAGCTGTGGGTAGGAGGAGGGCAGGAGGGAAGCACAGATTGGTACAAATGCAAGTAAATTTTTGGAGTTGAGGAGATCCTTACCTAATGATTCCTATTTTCTCTGTTAAGTAGGAGTCTAGCCCACCTGACAGAGACCAGAAGGTGGTCATGTAGGGCTAAGAACAGAAAGGGTGAAATATGCTCTCTAAAGAGTGGGGAAAGGGGCCCTGGCTCGCATGGCTCAGTGGATTCAGTGCTGGCTTGCGAACCAAAAAGTCACCCTATCGGTTCCCAGTCAGGGCACATGCCGGGGTTGTGGGTTGGGTCCCCAGTTGGGGCCTTGCAAGAGGTAGCTGATCGATGTGTATCTCACACATCGATGTTTCTCCCCCTCTTTCTCCCTCCCTCTTTCTCTAAAGAAAAATAAAATCTTTTTTAAAAAGAATGGGGGAAGGCATACTGGGAAAATATAAGATTTCTGGTCAGCTTAAGGTTAGAGATCACCAGTTCTTACAAACTAATGAAATTTTTTTTAATCACTGAAATAGCCTTTTGTATTTTCAAAAGCAGCATAAAC